CCGGGCGCCGCCTCTGTGCCGGGGGCAGGGAGGGAGCGGGGAGCAGGGGGGGAGCAGACGTGTCCCTCTAGAGCACGGGGGGCGCCGCCAGCCCCCCAGGACTGCCCCGGGGCCTCCGGGAATTAGATAGGAATCTCCAGGAGATGCTGAGAGTCACCCGGGAGGGAAATGATAGGGCTCTCATTCAAACCAGTATTAAATGTCGCATCCGATGTATACAGTAGTGCGATGGGGTTTTAAAATGTAATAGTCCTGTGCATTTGCCTTCCCGATGTAAAGCCCACGCAGCGTGACCTGGAACTGATGCATCGAGCACGCGGGCACGGTCCCGTTGTGCGTCGCCGGCGCGTTGCTGCCCCGAAACCTCCCGGAATAGATTCAAACAGAGTCGGGGACCCGAAGGGCACCTGGGGTGAAAGTGCTGCTTCAGGAGCGAGTCAGTCAGCTTTAACCTGCATCAGTCAGGACCTCCAGGTTGGTGGCTCTGTATTATCAGGAACAAACGGGTTACTCCACGTTGTGTGCAGCCTCCGACTGACCGGCAGCTTTGGCCTGAGGTACATCTCCCGTACGTGTGTGAACCACAGGCTCCAGACGTGAGACCTGTGTACCATCAACTCCTTTGACTTTCTCTCCAGAGGAGAGGTCTTCTTTCAGTGCGGTATTGATTTACTGGAAGTGTTTGGGGTATTTCAAGTGTATTGTTTGTTCCTATCTATTTGCAGCTTTGTGGGATGTGGCTTGATCTTTTTTCTTCCTTCCCATCCTCTTAGTTTCCACCATCACACTCAAAGCTTCCTGTTAGGTAAAGGTTTTGGGGTTTTTTCAGTTTGATCTAGGCTAGATGCCATTTGGATAACCAGGTGACTGCTTCTCTACTTGGTTGCAAAGTTTTGAGGATCCAAGCTCAAGCACCTCACGTGGCAGCTTGGGAAACATGCTTCTATTTGTTTTGGTAAATCTAGTTCAAAATATTTTTTGCAATCTAATTTTGAATGTTATGAGGCTATTTTGAGTTCATTGAAGGTAGATTGTGTTCCAGAAAGATGCTAGCCTGTGGTAGTTTGGTGCCACTGGGGGTGTCCCCATAAAGTCTTTGGACAGTGTAGCTCAGAGACAGTGCTCAAGAAACCATATTAACACCAAGGCTATAAAAGTCTGCCTCGCAGAAGACAAGCAAAGTCTTCTTTGCTTGTTACCCTGTGCACACTATAAACCTAAACTGAACACATGTAAACAGTTGGTGCTGGGAAGTTTAGTTACACAAAAGTGCCCACATTTGACAAACCTGCTTCCAGTATAATCTACCCAGAGAAGCTCAGCCTCTGAATTTAATTTTTCCATCTGTCTGTCCTGGTTACAACTCCTAGTCTCTTTTCCCCAACTGTACAGGCTTTCGGTCTGTACAGATGGACTACTTGCAAGTAGTCAGGGTGCCTGCCTCCCTGATAAGCAGAGGATGTTGGGAGCATGCAGGAAACAAATCCATCACTGGCAAGTAAGATTTCTGTTGTCTAGGACTTTTTTGAGTTGCTCACAGGAGATACAAATGACACTTCATAATTAGTGTGTCTATATAATGGAAGTTAATATCCCATGCAGTGTGTTTCTTCTCTAAGCATCATATACAGCTGAGTTGTGTGAAGTGTTACCCCAAAGGTGTGCCGAGGTTTTTGATGCACTCATTAAACCTGCTGAGGTGGATGCAGGTTGCAAGATCGTGATCCGTACTTCCAGGATAGGGCCTTGCTGGACATGATGGTCTATATCTCTCTCCAAAAGGTACAAGTCAGTTCTCTTACAGGTTGGCAGACCTCCTTTGTAAAGCTTTAAACTTTGTCAGGGGATGGGAATGTTGAAGACAGGGTGAAACCAGGAAGGACATGTCATGAACCCTGGAATAGACCAGGTAAGTACTAAGGGGCCCACTAAGCATCAGGGTAGGGGAGTACTAAAGGCATTGAGGGCTACAGGCTATACAGGCAGGATAGATTGGGAAAAAAGGGGGGAGGTGTTGCTTTAGACGTTAAGGAACATTATACATCTGTAATAAAAATGGGGACAGAAGAAGGGCAGATCAAAGTCCTATGGGCCAGATTACGAGGGGGTAGGGGTGAAAGGGGCTTAGTAGTGGGGTCTACTATAGACCCCCACACCAGCAGGAGGAGCTAAACCTAGAATTCCCGAGACGGCTCTCAAAGGCAGTACGCTCAAAGAACCTGGTTGCCATGGGTGACTTTAATTACCCGGACATCTGCTAGGAGGAACAGTCAGCCAGGTCTGCCTGTTCACGTAGGCTCCTAACCTGCATACAGGACATGCACCTAACACAGGAGGTATGTAGTCCCACTAGGGAAAATGCCTTATTCGACTTGGTGCTGACCACAGGGGAGGACTTGGTGGGAGATCTGCAAGTACAAGGTAACCTAGAAGATAGTGACTACCTGTTGGTAGGATTCACTATCCGGCAAAAGGTGGGAAAGATAAGTAGTAGGGCGGAAGTGCTAGATTTCCAGAAGGCCAACTTCAACAAGCTCAGGAGATTAGCTAGAGTGGGACTGAGGGGTAATAACATCAGTGAGTTGGGAGTCCAAGAAGGGTGGGAGTTCCTCAAGGAACTGATCCTGCAGGCACAGAAGGGTACCACCCCAGTACACATAAAGGGAGGCAAAAGAGCCAAGAAACCCTCTTGGCTGAGCAGGGAAATCCAGTAGAGCCTAGAAGGGAAAAGAGAGGCTTACAGGCAGTGGAAGCAGGGACCAGCCACCAAGGAGGAGTATAACCTGCTTGGCTTGCGCTTGTAGGGAAGCAGTGAGGAAGGCCAAAGCAGAAACACAACTCAGACTGCTAACAAAGAGTAAGGGTAACAAAAAATCCTTCTTTAAGTTCATAGGGAGCAAGAAAAAGGTGCAGGGTAACATAGGACCACTACAGGATGGACTAGCGCAATTTGTAACAGATAGGATGGACAAAGCTGAGCTCTTAAATGATTTCTTTGCATCTGTGTTCCTGGACACAGATACAAACACAACTCCCAATGAGACTTTATCCTGCCTTGAGAGAGACCAGTCCACCAGTAGTTAGCGCTGACCTAGTGAAGGTGCACTTGGAGGGGTTGGACATATTTAAGTCAGCAGGCCCCGGTGATCTTCACCCAAGGGTACTAAAGGAATTGTCTGGTGTCAGCGAAACCACTGGTGCAGCTGTTTGAGCACTCATGGTGCTCAGGACAGGTCTCAGAAGGCTGGAGAAGGGTCAATGTGGTCCCTATTTTCAAGAAGGGGAGGAAGGAGGACCTGGGTAATTATAAGCCGGTTAGCCTTGCCTCTATTTTTGGCAAGACCTTAGAAAAAATCATTAAGGATCACATTTGTGGGGGGCCAATGGGTAATACAATGTTAAGGGGCAACCAATGTGGGTTTATAGCTGGCAGATTCTGCTTGACTAACCTGATCTCTATTTATGACCAGGTCACAAAGTGCTTAGATGCAGGGGTGGAGATAGATGCTATTTACTGGGATTTTAAAAAGGCTTTCGACACAGTGTCGCACCCAGTTCTTACAAGTAAACTAAGTAGTTGTGATGTGAATTTTTTCACAGTCAGGTGTGTGGAAACCTGGCTTATGGGACGCGCCCAGAGAGTGGTGGTGGATGGGGTGGTTTCTCCTTAGAGAGATGTGGGCAGTGGTGTCCCCCAGGGCTCTGTCCTTGGACCAGTACTGTTCAATACAGGTTTCCCTCGATTTATGCTGTACATGTGTTCCCAGAGAATGGCGCATAAATCAAATTTGCATAAAGCAAATCTACTTTACAATGTAACAAATAGGGATAGGTTCCCATCATGGTGAGTGAGCAAGGAAGGGAGTGAGGCTGGGATTAGAGAAGGGGTGGTGGGAGGGGTGCCGCTCCTGGGGCTGTACAACGCAGCAAAGCAGAGGGAACAGAGCGGCACTCACCCTAGCCCTGGCTGCAGCGGCCAGCGCCAGCTGCCTCCAGCTGCTGGGCTGCACCATGCTCTGCCTGTCCCCACTCACCTCTGCTCCTGGGCTGCACCGTGCCCTGGTGCAGGCAGCTGGTGTCGACTGCTCTCGGGCTGCTGTAGCTGGGGCTGGGGTGAGTGGAGCCATGGCCCTTTCCCCTCCCCCACAGACTTACCTGCTTGGGCAGGGGGGGCATCTATGCTGATTGCACAAGAGTGAATTTACCTTGCATATAACGAATTATGGGTCTAAATACGCTCATCACAAAGGAGCAAATTTGCATATAAAGAACCCGCATAAATCGAGGGAAACCTGTATCTTCATCAGTGATTTGGATGAGGGTGTAGAAAGCACTCTGTCCAAAT